TATGACGGGGCTTTCCTTAACTGAGGCATTGGAGAGGCTTAGACAGCGAGACATCTTTGGGAATTCTGAGAAGGATATGTGGGAATTGAGTGAGGAAGAAACCCCAAAGTTGAGGTGAGAAGAGAAAATGAAACCCACCGAAAAACCCTGGATTCCATTCAGATGAGGTGGTGGGAGACTCTTTTGGGCCTCCCCAATATAGAGGACCTCATAAACTGCCTCCCCCAACACACATCCCTTTACCTTGGACAGGGGCTTAAATAGGAGAGAGAATGGTTAACATTAATAGAAAACACGTAAAGGGAAACATTAAGTCTTTGGCAAAGAATCAGATGGTTTGGCTCCCCATGGTGCCTCAGGAGTATAAAAATAAAAGAGCCATAGGTAGACAATGGAACAGTTACCATGGGAGAGTTTGTAAAGCAAAATATGTAACTCTGAGACGCATTTAACTCTGCTTGTCGATATTAGGCTTTGAAGTAGCACATGAGGTAGTTTCATTATGTTAAATTAGTCTACCAGGAAAGAAACATTGTGTGCAAAAAATAGGGCAGTGAGTAGGATTTGAGTCTAACAATTTTCTGAACACCTCAATCAAGACTAGTATGTGACGTATAAGACAAACAGTACAGGGAGTAAGAACCAGGAAGAGGACAGAAAGTGATAGAAAAAAGTACAGGCCTTACAATGGTCTTTTATCAGGCTTTAGTGGAAACAATCAGGGTGATTTTGGAGTTAATCATAAAGCATTGTTTTTATGTAGTGGTCTGCAAAACTTTATGGTATAAATAAAGCTGTTTGGAAGAACTCAGCAGAGATTGCTTCCGCCAGAACATCTCTTGTGTCTGTCTCCCCACCTTCTTGAGGTATCCAGTTCAACCCTCCAGGAGCTGGACTCCGGCATGTCACCTTTGCATCTCAGGTGTCATGACCTATAAGCAAGATATATAGACTGTGCTGACTCAGTTTGATCTCTCCAGGTTGTGATGAGTCATCTAGAGTGAGATTGGGTCTATCTATTAATTTTTAAAGCAAATAGATTTAATAAGGATAACAGTTCAAATCTGGGGCTACCCAGAGTTACAAAAAGACACAAAACGTTCTAGGTTAAAAAGTCATCTAGCAGGATTCATGTATTTAATCATCTTTGCCAATATCATAATTAAAAATATTAATTACTCTCTAGTAGTCCTTTTTCGTTGTGTGGCTTTTGAACCCATAGGAGGTGATTGAAAACATCATGGCTTCATTTAGGTGTATTTAATCCTCCGTGTAATTATTGATTTCTGTTTTCATTGATCTTTGCTCTACAGCCAGGTATAGGGGATATCCGGCCCTTAAATAGCTCCCGAAATGATCAATACTAACATTACATTTCATCAGAGAAGAAGTTACAGCCATCACATTTAAGAAAACACATCGCCACTGAGTCGATCCCTACAGGACAGTGTGGGACTGCCCCTGTGGGTTTCCGAGACCGTAACTCTTTACGGGAGTAGAAATCTCTGTCTTTCTCTCCAGATATTGAACGGCTCATCTAGAGGTTTGCAGGTGAACAGGGAGTTAATTGGATGTTTGACCAATATGGGCCTGAGTGAAATTACAACTATCTGAATGGCCATTTA